ATGAAGAATATATAATCGAGATAAGAAAAATTCTACTATTTTAAAGAATTTTTAAAATATTTAAATTTTTAATTTTAAAAAAAAAATTCTCTATCTAAACAAGATATTTCATCGAAGTATTTAATTTTTTTAACAAAAATTTCTTCTTAAATTTTTTCATTCAAACATACTATTAACTAAATTTAACTTCTAAACCAATCTTTTGTTATACATCATATATTTAAAACCTTCAATAAAATGCTAATATGCTAAATAACAAGCATAAACAAATTAATTTTATGTTACGTTGTAGTAAGTTAATCTATTTTTCTTAAAAGTATAGATGATGGTATACAAATTAAGATACAAAATGTAATGTGTATATAAGTATAGAATGATCATGTTTAATTGATTATTTTATTTATTTATTTATTCATTTATACATCTTTGTCAGGTCAAAAGACGATATAGGATCTTTTAAACTTTCAAATTTTAATGATAAAAAATAGAATATTTTTTTAAAGGAAAAATATTTTTACAAAATAAAAATTAGACAAAGTACAAGATACAAAGCTCTAAATAGATGATGTGTCATCAAATGAAGCATACAATCTTATCTATTAAAGTCTTTAATGTACATCATAATGAGTAATGACTACTTTGTGCATGACTAACTAATTACATAACAAATAGAACAAAAAAAGTTCGTTGAAATTCACAAACTTGTTAAAGTGAATGAAGTCATATTATGCATAAAAAAACAAGGATAAACAGATTCTTGAAATCACAAAAAAAAAGTTAGTAAAAATCGATGCAAAATCTCTTTTTCGCTAACACATGCCACAATAAAGTTGTTTGGTATCCTAAAGTTGGTAAATAGCTTTCTTAATCAAATAAGAAGTGATAATTTGGTGAAATATAATTAAAGTAATCATTTAATACACCAACAAACACTTCTCATCTCAAAGGATTCATAACAAAGACAAACGAAATAAGTTTGTGAGGAACCTTCAAAGTTTTTGTGACGATCATCTCCACTGAGCCATTGTATAAAGATTTTCAAGAACATAAAGAAAAATAGATTTTTCAAAAGAGAACTTTTGTATAAAATATTATTCATTCTTTTTGTAAAGACTATTGCTCTTAATTGGTTTTATGATATTTTGCCTATAAGATAAAGTAACATTTGTAAAATTTTATCTAGATATACAGAGCCTGGAGAAACTTGTTTTTTAGAACAATACTTGTTTAACATCAAAGAAGCTTGTCAGTAAAAAAATATTCGTAAAAGTCTTGCGAGACTTTGTGTTAAGTTTAGATATACTTATTTATAAAAGAATACTCATTTGAGTCTAGAGAGACTTGACAATAAAAGAATATATGATGTTAAAGCCTAGAGAGACTTTGTGTTAAAAGAATACTTAAATGGATTACTTCAATAAACAATTTAAAAAATACTTAAATTTGAAACAAAAGTGACTTCTTAAAAGAATATTTATATCTTGTTAAAGATAATAGAACTCAATATAATTAAATTAAAAATTAGACGTAATCTCAATAAATAAAATAAATTAGTATAAAAATTATCATATATTTTGAACATTACCATTAATATCATTATTTTACGTCAAAGTGTTAATTTTTTATTGAGGTTGTTTAACCCCTTTTCCTCATGTTTGTCTTTTCTTTCCACAGCCTCTTATATTATAATAAATAAAATATCTTTTGCTGCTTCAAAAAAAACAAAAAAAAAAAATATGAATGTGTATATTGACACGTGTTAATGTGAAGTAATTTGACATGTGTCAAATCAAGATTGATGCTACCTATGGTCCTACATTCCGTTGATAGTGGATTGGACGAACCTTTTAACCAAAGCATGAAAGTCATGACTCAATGAATCTATCAAATGTGCCTTTAACATCACTCACAATGTATTCATTCGAATAATGCATTCATTAAATAATATTTTATTTTATTTTTTATTTTATAGTTTTTAAATCAGTTTCTACGTTTTAGTGATTCTCAAAATTGTATGCCATATATATAAACATATGACATTTTCAACAAAAAAAATAAATAAATAAATATATATAGCCCCTGCTCATTTCCAAGATTCACACTTCCATTTCCGTCCTTATCCCTCTATATATTTATTCATTCTTCAACTCCCTCTCACTCTTACAATTCAATAACCCTCTATTTCTTTTCCATCTTCTCAACAATTTTTCACCATTTTCTACCAAAAAAGATGAGCAAGGTCACAGCCCTGTTCTTCACCCTACTACTCTGCACCATTCTCGCCCATGCCATGCGCCCTCAACCAGCTTTTCAACAGGAATCATCCTTGGCAAGAGCGCATCAACAGGTTTGTTGAAATTCTTTTCATAATTATATTATTACTACGATGTATTTACAATTTTGGTTGAAATTTTAATGCTGATATATATCCAGCTTTATAATGAATATTGGTGGCGGTTAAGTGTATGTCTGTATGATATTGATTTCATATTTTGTAGGGTGTCGAGGCTGTTGATGAGAGTTGTGAAGGCGTTGGAGAAGATGAATGCTTGGTGAGGAGAACACTTGCCGCTCACGTGGACTATATTTATACGCAAAAGCATAATCCTTGAAAAATACTATTAAATTATTATTCTCTTAGTGCTATTACTATGGATAGATATTAGCGTCTGTCCATGTGTTGTTTTCATACTCATCAGGAGTTGGTAGCTGGATCATTTGTTTGTACTTCATATTTCTATTTTTTGTTTTTCTCTTTAGCTTATATGTATATTGTATGAAAGTACAATTTCATGGAGATATTTGCCTAGTTGATAGAGTACAAGAAAGAGTCTCTTTTCATATTTTGGTTCAGAACTTGATGCATCGAGCATGGATCAGATATGGTATGACAGATTTTTTTTTTTAAACGTGGACTCTCATTCAACCTATATATAAACAAATGAAATTAATTAATTTCACGAAAATTAAAAAAGTTCATTAAATATATTTAATTTTCACAAAAAACATATATCATATTTTTTAAAATATTTTTAATAACATTGATAGTAGATAATGTTTCTATTATTAACGAAAAAAAAAGTATTTTTGGATTAAGAATATTAAATAAAATTTGTTTATATTTTAATATTAAATTTAATTGTTTTTTTGCTTATAAATAAGTTAAAAAAGTGTATGTTGTAACATAAATCGAAAAGCAACCACAAGTATTTAATTCAGGCTTCCAACTCAAATGGCCTCATCCAAGGCGAGAAATGAAGCTATACTTCCATGTTATTTTTGGATGAATAAAGTGTTGTATCTTTAACAATAATAGAAGAAAGGACCCGGATTCATTAAGTCCCATAAAAGTACTATGGATTCATTGTAACTTTGTCTAACTGATTTTGTCTGACAACTGACATCTGAGGTTACTCTGGAATACGTGAGACCTGCTTCGAATAGGTAACTGTAACCTCTGGATTTAATGCATGTTATCTCTCTCTGAGATAGCACTCAGTATTAAATGTAATCAACCACTTGGTTGGCTTCTTTGCTTTGGGTGTTTGATCGAATTGGTTGATAGTTGAGTTTGAAGTTATAACTTCAGTGTTCATTTAAATCTTCCTTATCCGACATGTGAATGAGAAAGCCAGGAAGAAATGAGAGGCTACCGAAAGATGCGTATACTCTTTGCGGATTGTATAGCTGTAACTGTAAGCATTCACTACTACGATTCTCAAATAATTGTACAACTTACAAGTGGGTTGATTTATCCAACCTTTGTCACCTGTCAAATTGTAACACACATATATATAAAAGTGAGATTTTTTTAATTTTAAAAAGAAGTCTACTTAAATTTATTTTAGTCAATAATTTATATTTTACATCAAATATTAACGATTCAATAATTAAATTAAATTTTTTAATATATAAATTAAGTTTATAATTTTTTAAAAAATTAAAAATCATCTAATATTCGTTTATATTTATTTAAATTGACAAATAATTATAAAAATATTTTATATGTTAATTTTTACCTTTGATATTAAAGTGAAAAATGTCAATATTACCTCTATAAATATTTCTTATAATTAAGATTTTATAGTCACTGTTTCTTCCTTATTCTTCAAAATTTAATATTTTCCTCCTTTTCATTTGTTACTCATTATTAGGGGTGATAAATAAATTCATTTATGCATCATTCATTATATCTATCCACAAGTAAATCCATTCATTACAATAAACATAAGTAATGAATCGAACCAATCCAACAATTTAGTTTTATGGATGGTTAATAATTCATTTGGTACTATTTCACAATTCATTGGATTAAAATATGATATGTTTAATCTATTGAGATTTTAAAAGACTATTTTAATATATATAAAATATTTTGTTAATTTTAAAAGACTATACAAAAATATAATGACATAAAAAAGTGAAAGAAATAAAATATTTTAAAAAATAAAAATTATTTAATTTTTAAAATATTATTTTTATGGATAAATTGAATGGATTTTTTTAACTTTTAATGAATCTAAATAAATTAATAATTGTAATAATCTAAAATATTATAATTTATAAAACACAAAGCCAAGGGTGTCTATAATGATTTGGAGACTACTTAGGGAAGGATTGCCTACAACAATGAATCTTAAGAGCAGGAATATTGAACTAGGAGAGTCGGAGAGACTATGTAGTCTATGTTCACGAGCAGAGGAATCTACATCTCACATGTTCTTTGAATGCGGAGTTACTGACTGTGTCTGGAAAACGTGCTACAACTGGATAGACTTAGCAACTGTACTACCAGCAAATCCTTCAAACCATTTTCAGCAAATGCCCATCTCAATATCTTCTAAAAAAATTTCAGATAGGTGGAAAGTGTTGTGGAGTGCTGTGGTCTACAACGTGTGGATGATGCGGAACAATATCAGATTTAACGGCCGAAGACTACAAATCCAAAAATGTATACAGGATATAAAAAATGATACTTGGAGGTGGCTATCATTGAACAAACAATTCACATACAGCTATACACAATGGCAAGCAGACCCAGGTGGTTGTATAATGGATGGGGGAAGTCATGGATAAAAGGGAGGAAATCCAACGGCCTATGTGTGACATTGAGAGTTACGGAAAACATGAAGGGGCTAAAAGAGGATTTGAAATATGTACATGTACTGGTGGTCTCTATTAGACTTGAGGGGTACAACACAAATCTTGGTTGTCTAGTAATCTGGAATATGATATTTCTATATTACGGTTAACCAAGTCACATTTTTTGTAATATGAATTGCACTTCTGATACCATTAAATAAATAAAATATCTTTTGCTGCTTCAAAAAAAACAAAAAAAAAAAATATGAATGTGTATATTGACACGTGTTAATGTGAAGTAATTTGACATGTGTCAAATCAAGATTGATGCTACCTATGGTCCTACATTCCGTTGATAGTGGATTGGACGAACCTTTTAACCAAAGCATGAAAGTCATGACTCAATGAATCTATCAAATGTGCCTTTAACATCACTCACAATGTATTCATTCGAATAATGCATTCATTAAATAATATTTTATTTTATTTTTTATTTTATAGTTTTTAAATCAGTTTCTACGTTTTAGTGATTCTCAAAATTGTATGCCATATATATAAACATATGACATTTTCAACAAAAAAAAAATATATATATATATATATATATATATAT